CCCCAGCGCCGTCCTTCCAAAATGCTGCACCGAGCCACATGGGGCAACAGGGCCGGGCGCTGAGCAAGGTCAGAGCGCGAACACGCAGGGCAGCAACCTGTCTTTTCATTGCCCGTAACATCGGAGGGTGTCCGCATGGCAGCGTTCCTCCCCAAAACTACCCTGCGCAAGGCAAAGCACAGCCCTTCTCCATCTGCAATCCCAGCCCCGTGTCTCTCCGGGTGCAGGAGGAGGGGGTGAGCCAGGACTGTCCTCCTCCTTCAGCCAAAGTCCAGAGAAATCAGACTCGAGGCTAAGCCGAAAGGAAGCTTTTTCAAATACTTGCTCAGTCAAGAGGGAAATGGAGAGACACACTTCCAGGTCAAAACAAACTTGCAGGATTATACAAAGCAAATCGCCTTTTAATACGTAACCAAATACGGAGGGTGAGTTTCAGGACATCTTTTTCTCCTCAGCATCATCCATCTGCCAACAGCGATACAAAGAAATCACAAAGCGGAAAATGAGACACTGCCACAAAACCAGACGATATATGCACATACACAACGTATAAAGAGATAAGACAAGTAACAGAGCACCAGGGGTCTGTCTCGGCCCCCACCAGCAGAGCCTGGCGAGGTGCCCTCACTCCAAGTGCACCTCTTGCAGGATGGGGAGCCCTCAGCACCCCCCCGCTGAGGCCACGCACCATTTCACATCATCTTACAGGTACCAGAACAAAGACTGGTGAGCAGAGTCCATCCTGCCGCTTTTTGGGTCCGCTGATTTGTAAGGCTCCGTATCACAGCCAGTCACACCTCCTTGCTCCACCCTAGGTACTCTCCTCCAGGCTATTTTGGAGGGGTCAGGCGCATTTCCAGCATCATTTCGCTCCCAGCCTGTGGCCAGGAGCTCAACCCTTCCTAAGCCCCATCTTGCCCTGCGAGCAGCCCCGGCACAGCGAGGCAAAGCACGGCACGAAGGAAGAGACCCAGGGAGATGAGGCCACCCCACACCAGGACACACGCAGGCTTGCTGCTGGGCTAGTCCTGCACTAATTACTTGATTTTACTCACTTCACAAATGGTACGTGCTTCGTACTGGTGTGAGAGGCAGACGTGATGCTCAGGGTGACGGGTGCAAGGGGAGGGCGGGGTGAAGATGTGGAGGTCCCCAACCTCTCTGGGAGAATTTGCCCCATAGTGGGGAAAAAAAGTTAATTCATGTCTTAGGTTGAATACTACAAAAGAGGGAATTCAACAAAGCTGGCCTCCAGGACAACAGTTTGAAGGGCACAAAGCTGGTCTGAAGTGGAGAGGCAGATAGCACTCACTGAATCCTTTCCTGCCTTTCTTTCTCACTCATTTGGCAAAACCACACCAGCCTGAGCAACTACAGGAATAAAACCCATCGTTCCTCCCTCCGACAGCACTGCTGAGCACAGGAGAGGAAGGCAAGGACAAGCCAGTGACAAACCCAAGGGGAGCTTGGCTGGATCTTCCCCACCCTGCTGACCCAGAAAGGTCGCAACAGCCTGGTACTCGCTTCTTCCAAATTCCCCAGGAAAGGCTGCTGAAGAGTCCCAAACCCTGAGCTGTCTCTTTTCTCACCAACTCCACCTCCCACAAAGACCCTTCAGATGCTGCTGAGCTTCTCAAAGTGCTTGGTAACATCCCTTTTCTAAAGGAACTGGGTCACCAGGGGCTCGGGAGGAGGAGAGGAGATGGAGAACACAGGAGGGAGGGAGGAAGGAGCAGAGCAGAGGGGCACAGGCAGGCTGAGATGATGCAGGGGACCAAACAGCAACATGACGAGGGTGGTCCACGCACACAGGTGATGAGGAGACCACGCTGCATCAAGAAACAGCAATTCAGTGCTACGTGCCTGTGAGGCCGCAGGTCCATTTGCAACAGGCTGCCAGGAGGATGTGGGCCAGCGAGCAGGGTGTCCTTCTCTGGACCCCAAGAGTCTGACAAACCTCCCCACTGGCACGGGTGCATCTCATGGGGAAAAAAAAAAACAACCACAAACTAAAACAACCAACCAACCCACGGAACACTTCGTCCTAGACTGCCTGAAAGCTCTGCTAGCGTGCCTCATTTCAGGCACTGGAAGACAAAATCCTGAGCGATCAGGAAACACGGGACAGCGCTCACAGGTGTGCACAGCCAGAAGAGCTTGTAATTGTTGGTGGCTTTTCAAAAAGTGGCTCCTAGTTCACAGTGAGCCTTCAAAACAGGCTGCCCACAAATGATGCTGTGCCTGCATCCCCCCAACACCACCCCTCACTTCATCCGTGTGAGCTGGTGCACCCCTCAGGTCCTGCAGCCCTCACACCTCACCTTGAGCTGGACCTCACAGGCACAGAGCGGCTGCCTGCCTGCAAAGGATGCCGAGGGGAAGCCAGGGCCCTGCTTGGAGGAGGATGATGCTCCTGCACCCACCTTCGCAGGGAGAGCTGCTGAGCACCTCAAAACTGAGCCCAGTGAGGAATGTGATGCTCCAGGGTGGCTGTCACTGGGGCAAGGCAAAGCACCCTGCTGCTGGGGAAGGGATATTTTAGAGGCATCCCTAAGAAAGTTGCTCTCGTGTCTAAAAAGCTTATTTCCGTACTGGCACTCAGGCAGCACAACATGGTCTGTCTGGTGGGTGCTGGACCCCGTGCTGGACCCCAGCAGGAGTCCACTGTGTTGCACCGGACCTGCCCCACTGCATATCCAAGGAGCTGCCCCAGTCTGCACGACCCACGGCTGGTGCTGCATGAACCACTTGTCCTCTTGGAGTACTGCCTGCTCCCCTTCCCTGAAAAAGCTGGGTTCTAGGTGGGGTATCAAGGGCTGTTTGGGGAAGCCACCATCCCCTGGCAGCTGGCTGACTCCTAAGGGTGCTGATGCTTGTGTAGGGAGAGCAGCCTCCTCATCATGGAGGTCCCCAGCCCCAGAGAACAAGGACCCACACAAGCGCTGTGCAGGGGAAGGAGCAGGTTGGGATGGCAGCAACCACGGCCCAGCTGCCGGGGAGCTCTCGGGGCTGCCAGCCAGCAAAGTTTGTGACTCCAGGTGTGTTCTTGCTGCTTCCAACTGTTTCGCAGCTATGGTCATCCAAGCCTCCGATGGGCAAACTCCAGGAGAAGCACTCTGATCAAACGCATTTGCTGGGTTTGCCTGGACTGGGGCATGGTGCCATCGAGTCACTAGTGTGCTTGAGTGCAACGGAGGTGGGCAGCTTGAGCCTACCAGTTTGCACCCAGGCTGGCTCTGATCATTAGGAATAGCGTTATCTACAGGAGCAGAGGTGGTAACTTCTGCTTGAATCATTTGTCGCGGGTTTGCCAACTGAAGTGCTACAGAGGACGTGCTGCTGGAGACCGGGACATCCAGAACAGTCCTCCCCACCAGCCCGGCTTGGTTAAACGGGACCCGCTGTTCTGGTTTAGCAGCGCTAACCTCAGATGTAACGGAGACTAGAGAGACCACAGCATCTTGGCCTTGTGCACCAGGTGCCCGGGGCTGTGGCGGGGATTGAAACGCTGAATTAGTTGCCCAGCAGTGCTGGAAATGAGCCGCAGCACAGTTTTCCTCATTGCAGGGTGATGTGCCGCAGTGTGGGAAGTCCGTGCTCTTCCCAGCATCCTCTCTGCGGAGCATCTGCTCCACAAAGGATGTCACCTCGGTGCCTAGCCTCTCGTCAACCTCCTGAGCCGGCAGCTCCTCCTCTGCACCCAAGCTGAGCAGAGCCTCCTCCCACCCCTGCAGCTCTGCATTGTCCACCTTGAGGCTCTGAAGGGTCTGGCAGATGTTTCCATCCACCTTGCTCTTCTCAAAGAGAGTTTCGATAACGACCAGGAGGGAGTCACTGTCCTCCTTGGCATCAGCGACTTCCTCATTCTGCCTCAGTTCATTGGGCTTAGCGATGAGATCTGGCAAGGACAACTGAGGCACATTATCAGCATGGGAGATGTATATGGATGCATCCTGCTTCATCATGGCCCCAAGAAGAGAGTTGGGGTCTACCGAGTGTTGCTTTGAGTGGGAGTTTGCTTGTGTCTGCAACTCCTCCTTAGCCTGGAAGGAGTCCAGGAACTCATTCCCATACAAGACTGCTTCTCCCGTGGCAAAGCTAAAAGGCAGCTGCAGGTTTCTCTTCCGCAGATGCTCCTCCCCTTCTTCGTTCCTTCAGGGCAGTGGGAAACAGAGATGGAAACAGCATCAGCACCTCATCGGGGCCAGGGAGAACCCCCCCTCCCAACAGTGAGACAGCAGCTCACAGCCCTGCCCTGGTTTTTGTAAACAAAAGGCTGCTGGATTGGGCTGGCTACGATGCTACTGGTGGAGGACTGGGGCTCTGGGGAGTCCATGGGGAGGTCTGCATGGCTCAGGGAAGGGCTGCATGTCCAGGGCTCACCCCAGGCAGGAGTGAGCACATCTGCAACATCCTCCTCGGAGCCGTTTTGCTCTTGCCTCCCGGCTACAGGAGGGCACGTGCTGCACAGTGCCAACCGTGCTACCCAACCACCCTTTCCTCCACCCTCATTGCTTCCGTGTGCCTCGAGCAGCCCCACGGCCACCCACGCTGAGAGCTGGTGAAGGCAGCCAGAGACCCAGTGATACTCACGACAGGGTTCGCTGCCGGGCAATGATGCAGTCGGGTTTGCCCCCTTTGTACACCAGCCAGGCATTGGCCTGCACCCACACCCAGCTGCCCTTCTTGGTCAGCAGCCGGAAAACCGTCATCCCACTCTCCCCTGTCTTCATCACTGAGGCAGGGAGAGAAGAGAGTCGGCACAGATGTGGTTATTCTGCGAGAGCAGACAAATAGCACGTGCAAGATGCCAGGAAGTTGAGCGTCACCTCACACCACGTTATGAAGGCAGGAGATGCAGGACGCAGCCGGCACACGATGCTACATGCGGTGCTGTCCCTCTGCCAGCTCCCTGAGCAGGTACCACCCAGGAAGGGAGAGCCTTTATTGCAACTGCTCCAGACCCAGGAAAGACAGCCCACCAAGGAGCAATGGTACTGGCCCAGCCAGAGCTGCACTGGTGCCAGGGAGCCATGAGGGCCCCCAAAAACACACCCACCCTGATGGCCGCCCGCCCCCCCTCCCCAGCCAGCGCTGGCACTCACTTCTCACGTGGTTCTCTGCACACTGCATCATGTCAGCTGCATGCACAAACTGGTACCCGGATCCCCTCCTGCACAGCTCCGTTTCCGTGTACCCCAGGACAACCTTCCCCCTGGAAACGGGGTAGAAACCCAATGACACCAGGGATGGATCCCCCAATTACACCCCACCAGCTGGACGTGATCCCCTGCCCATCACCCAAGCAAAGCCTCCCACTTTGTGTGGTGCAAATCTCTATCCTGGGCTGAGCTGCATGCCCTCTTCTACAAAACCACCCCGTGCTGGGTTTGCTGGACTAAAGCACAGCAGTCCAGAAGTCCTGGCGCCCAGTTAATCTGCTGCCCATGTTACTGGGGGGCTGCAGCAGATGGACAAAAGCATCAGACACCTTGCCATGGGAGTTGGGTCAGAAATGCCCTGCTCCCACGGGCTCTGGCTTTCTGTCCAGCACCAGGGATTTTGCCACAGGGAAGGTGAGAGATGCCCTACCGGGAATCACAGGCCATGGGAGTGAAGTCCAGCTTGTGTTTTGTCTGAAAGACCAGCATCTTGGTTCGAAGCTCCAGGATGGAGAGGGGTTGGAGGAGAGTCGCGATGGCAAAGAGAGCAAGTGGGGACGTGTCTGATGCTGACTTCTGCTGTCTGAGAAGGAATTTCAAGCGCCCACGGAAATTCAAGGCCTTAGAGGAGATTAGAAAACATGGGTGTGAAGCAAACAGGGTGATGGAAACTGGCTGTGCTCCCACCACCTATGGGACATGAGTGGTCCCTAGGGAACACGCTGGGGGCTGAGGGGTCTCCTGGCGCAGGGCTGTGTTACCAGAAATCCCGAAGAGTTATCCAGCAAGCAGCGGAAGCGGCAGGTGAAGCTCCTCTCCATAGAGGAGGGCTTCTCGGGGCGGAGGTGCTGTGGGCTGGACGCGGTGCTGCATCCAGCCAGCAGTGGCTGGTCGGTGGGAAAGGCTGGGGAAATTGAAGGAATAATGAAGCTTTCCAAGCTGTGCACCTCAAGGTCATGGCCTTGCAGACCTGCTCCTGGCGCAGACTTTGCTGCTCAAGTGAACCCAATGATCTTCATAAGCTGGGTAAGACCTTACCATGGAAAATTACCATTTCACGATAGTTTCTGCTCCCCTTGCCTCTCAGACAGGAGCAAAACAAGCTGCCCCCACAGAAATAAATAGGATTTCAAACACTGAAAAGCAAAAAGGCTTAGGGGAAGCATCCCCATCCCTCCAGCATAGCAAAAGACAGCATGTCATTGCTGTTGGCTGCTTCTGGTGACATGTGGCTGTGCCAGTCCCCGGGATGGTTGCAAGTCCCACAGGGAGGCTATGGGATGCTCCTCAGCACAGGGCTGTGTTTGGTGGCTATAAATGCCACTAGGAGGGTTTTCCAGCACGGGGTGGCCATGCAGAGGCAGCTGGCTAGTCCCTAGGGATCACCCCGGCACTCACCATCAGCAGCGTGCTGGGTTCTGCTGGACATCGGGGTCCCATGCAGCTGGCGGCGGAAGGTGGCTCTGTCGTCCGCATGGATCAGCTCGTACACGCTCTGGTAGATGAGATCCGACTGGAATGACACAAAGGGAGAAGAGTGTCAACTCCTGCCCAGCCTGGCAGAGGTGTCTGGAGGAGGACACGGCAGGTTGTGGGGTGCCAGAAGTGCAGCGATTGAGTATAAAGGAACAGGTGAAAGCAACCAGCTTTGTGTGCCACATGAAGAGCAAGGACCAGGAACTGGCTACTTTTTTAGGGACGGTGGCTCAGGAAGGAGGAAAAAGGAGCAGAGAGGCAGTCTGCCTGTGCACATCGTGGGAATGGCCGAGAGGTTTCTAGAAGCAATATGAATGGCAATGTCCGAGTAACCCTGGCTGCTAAGGACTGCCACGCTGCCCAGCGTCCTCTGGCCATAGCCAAGCAGAGCCTTCCAGCCTGTTCCCCACACCGGCGAGACTGAGGTTCTCCTGGCACGACCAAGCCTTTCCAAGGACGTTTCACACTGGCTCTGGCTCCTGATCCTCAACTGCAGTCCATGGGAAATGCTGAAACTCCAGTTCCCTCCCCTACCACAGGAGTCCCCGCTCATTGGAAAGCTTTCCTCCCCATCTGCGGGGCGAACACTGCAGCAGCGGCATTTGCCTAGCACATCCTAACTCTCAGTATCTTCTTGGGACCAAATTCAGACACAGTGCCAGAAAGGCGGTGGGTTCTCAGAGGGGAATTTATTTGTGGGGTACAAATTGATGGTCTGCAACAGCACGCAAGATCTCTCTTGCATTACCATCCCTACTCCTTGCACCTCCTGCCTCCTAATACAGCCCTTGTCTTCTAGGGCCGTGCCTTGGACCAGCCTTTCCCATCCCTGTCCTGCATGCTGTGGTGGCCAGCATGGTCCTCCCAAGCCCACAGGCAGCTCAGGTCACCGATGGCCATGTCCCTGCCCTCACAAACATGCCACAGCAGAGCCTCCTGGTTAACCAAACCTAGAGGTACTTTGAGAAGACCACTCCCTCCCTGATAGCTCTTTTGACTTGAGACATCAGCCCATGAGGATCCCAGTGAGCTGAGAAAGAGTGCAAAGAGAGGACAAAGAAGAAAACCCATCAGTCTCTGCAGCTGCAGCAGGAACCCATGCAATGAAATGGGTTTGGCAGCCTCACAGCCCTCCTGTTGACTCAGTCCTTTGGCCAAAGACGCTGGATGTCAGGGGAATCAGAGGTAACAGGGTGGATGTGGGGAGAGATCTGCTTTTCCTTGGCATCCCATGTAACACACAGTACTTCAGGGCACTGATGCTGCTCGCCAGCGAGATACCCTCAGCCTTTTGTAAGTGAAAGCATATGTGCCCAGCAGCGCGATACAAGAAAAATCTCACACACCTCTTACAATGACAAGAGGATAGAGAGCCTGCCGTTGCTCAGCTTGCATCTGTTCCTACTAAAGTCACAAGCATGCTTGCTGGTCTTCACAGCTCCCAAAGAACATGGCTTATTTGAAAACGTCCATCAAAAATGACCCAAGGGAGCTGGGAGGGGAGAAGAAAGCCCTGGCATGGCTATCAGCACCTCCTTCCCAGACTTGGGCTGCATCCACCTGTTTACAGCCAGGAAAAAATAGTACCTACCTGATGAAAGCCCAGGTAGTCCTGGACTGTAGGGGAGATGTAGAAGATGTAGCCATCTCCGGTCACGGCGATGACAAATCCATTGAGTGCCTGAAAGCAGAAGTTGAGCCCAGAGTTACTCTCCCTAGCTTCACTCCAGCTGCTGAAACTTGAACTTCTCCAGGTGTTTCTTCAGCATTCAGGGACAGGAAGGGTCCTTCTTCAGCAACAAGGAACCCCTCAAAAAAGGAAAGCACCTTGTGACTATGCAAGACTTTTAATCTTGTTTACTTGTTGTTTTCTTTTTTTTCCAATATTAGCATAAGCAATGATCCAAGATGGACTGATGACTTCTTCTAGACCCATCATGGAAGCCCTTTCACCGCAGGGCAGCTCCTGCATCAGGAGGGACCAGAGGAGGAGAGGTTTCATGGAGGACCTAGAGTTAGTTACCTCCTCTCCAGCTGTACCAGCTGGGTATAGCTATACTCTTCTGGGGCTCTGATTTTCTCTAACCAACCTGCCCACAACTTCAATAACAAGCAGCAACAGGCTGTGTAGAGGGAAGAAGGACTGCCCTCAGCCACGCATGAGCCTGGTGACTCCAGGAGGAGCCTAGCATCAGTTCAAGCATAATGAAGCCTTCAGAGACAGTAACCAAACTGCAGTCACTGACCTGACCTATTTATCCACTCGTTCATTTGAAGGATGACCTCCAAAGGCACTTTGGGCCTTGCTCCTCATCCTGAATTTTACAGTCAGGAGGTTATACAAGCTTATTTCTGCATTTCTGTATGTCTTCTCCCCACACTTTCTCCAATCACCCCCCAAAACCTGCCTTTTAATCCTTAGCACCCAAGGACATCGCTGTCCCTCAGGCTTCTGCTCTCAGCTCCAAGGGTACGTGAGCAACTCATCTCAAAGAACACGAAGGAAGACCAAATCCAGTCACTGCTATCATGCAAAGATGGTAACGCAGCTAAAACCAACACCCACCTTGAAAGCAAACGAATTAGAAAAATCTGGAAACTCAGATCCCAGACTTGTGAAGGCCCTGATGTCACATCTGTGATGCCTGACATGGCATCCCCTCGTCCTTACAGACTTGCAGACTCTTGGACACATCTTGGAAGAGGCGACAGCTTCCTGTTCTCATCTGTCTCCCATTACACAGGACCACAACCTCTTCTCATCTGATTTTGTTCTTGTTCCTGACAAACATCTCAAGAGGCCCCATTGCTCTTGAGATATTTGTCAGGAATAAATCCCATTGCCCCTCAAATACATCCTGGCATTGAACTGCCACTGTGAGACACCATACTGGGAAAATTGCTCTCCTCTTGCCAACGTTCTAGATGACAGAACATAAGGCTTTAAATACAAACCCCCCAAAATCTCTCTTAAAAATAAAAAAATAAAAAAAATCTCTATGCTCATACCATCTGTCAACCTCACTTCTCGCCTTGCACTTTGCAATGACATATGCATGGCCTGGAGCTAAATCCATACTCAACTGGTAGCTCCTTGCTTGAAAAAGACCAAATCCACACAAAATTAGAGAAAGTATTCCAAAGCTGTAGGAGCTCAAGGCTGGGGTGGAGGTTGGGGAGCTCACACATCTAGTGAATATCCAGAAAAAGAGGTAAGATGAAGATCCAGAGATATCTGGTGACCATTTCAGGGTGATTTCCTCCAAAAGGAAAGTACTGCACTAGATAGTAATTCCTGCTCTTGTCTCTAAGAGTTAATTTATTAGTGAATAAAAGGAGATAAATTAGGAAAATAAAACCCTAAGTGGAAGCCTGGGTTTAATCAAGACATGGGCAGAAGTCTCAGCAGGTCCTATATGTGTCAGGCCAGGATCTGCCACAAATACAGACCGCCCTTGCTGCCCAACTCAGCCACGCTGAGCTGCCCCAGGGAGGGACCACGGAGACGTGCAGTTTGCTTGAGACCAGGCTGGAGAGAAGGGTCCAGCTGCCCATCCTGCTCCTTCGGCTCTGCTCACCCGCTTCCCCCATGTAAAAAGGAGGCAGGAGCCATCGGCTGACACAGCTTACGTATTTGCCCATTTACGGTGACACTCGGCCTTGCCTGGGATGGCTTTTTTTAGTCACTTGGATTATTTGAGAGGCTGCTGGATTGAGCATGTTGCTTGACACTGTACAGATCCAGCTAGCAGCAGGATCACTCCCTTTCCTTTGTGTGCTGCAGCCCCCCCAGGGGCCCTGAGTCAGAGTTTTCTGCAAATTACTGTATCTGATTAAAATAGTCTTGGGGGGGGGGGGGAAACTGGGGGGGGGGGGGGGGGGAAAGCCACAACCAAACCAGCAGACAGCTCAGCTGGGGGATTTCTGTCACATTAACACCTCATAAACTCTGCAGACACCTTCAATCAGCCAAGGCTGCCAATGCTCTGGTGGCTCAACTAATTGCAATCATATGGTCCAGCTCAAACCCCTGGAGAGCACTCAGGAGCAGCTCCATCTTAGGACAGGCTCCCTCCTGGCTGTCATGTTATTCCAGCTCTTCCTCCGTGACTATCAGACTTGCAGACAACTAAAACCAATCCTGGGAGCAAAGCCCACATGGGAAACTTCATGTGGTCCAAACTTCATCACCAAAAATCACACTGGGCTCCTAGGAATCACCACCTCAGCAAAATCCCCTCCTGCCTGTCCATAATGGTAGGCATTCGCATAAGGCTCTGCAGGAGCAGGGTTGAAGGCACCAAAGTCAGACTTTAAGGAGAGCCAAGTGGAAGAAGGGAGAAGAGGACTGAAAGCCCAGGAAGTACAGACACATGCGATGTCAGGAACACAGCCACGGAACAACTAAAGGTCTTGCACAGACTTGCCCTGCAGCCCCAAGCAGCAATGTATTTTAAGGTGACATGCCCAGATGTTTATTAGCCTTTCCATGTGACCTTTCTATCCCATTTCCTTCCAGCTTACATTTATAAATTGCAGCCCAAACAAACCTCATTCTGGCCAGCTGATTCACCAGCTCCTTGTTCTCTGAAGTTCATTGACAGCTATGCCATTAGACACACACTGGTCTTTCTACAAAGCAAAGCTCCCGCCACCCACCGATTTTGTCAACCACTGTCTTCCAAGATCCTTTTTCCCTTCTTTCCCCACCTCCACAACCTACAAACTGAATTTGGGCTTTTTCCATCCCAGGCAGGCTGTGAACTCATCCTTGGGAGCTCACGCAATGCCCCAGGTAAGGCAAACGGTTCCTGGCAGATGTTTTATCTTGCAGCTATCACCATTCTCCTCTTGGCATTTACTATAACAGAAGGAACCCACCACCTCAGAGCCTCATTAGGGAATAATCCCTACACTGCTGTATGATTCCCCTGCACCTCTTGGTTGGGGTGGATGAGCCTGTGCATGTTGGGTCCATGAGCTGTAGCAGGTCCCCAGGGAAAAATGCCAGCTTTGGGCTCAGTGACAGCTAACGCCTGCAGCTACAGGCGCAGAGAGCACCCAACATCTTTAAGAGAAGGGCACAACCCAGCACTCCAAGACCTGCTCTATTCATGGATGCAGTTTATAGTACAGCCACTACAGAGCCACTGCAGTGTAACCAAAGGGGTGGGGGGGAAACAGTGGAGATGGGGACCCATCGCTGGTCCCTGTCCTAAGGTACTCAGTGTCTGCAGGAATCACAGCGAAGCTGCTCCTGGCAGGGCAGCGTCTCCTCTTCTTGCTCCACAGATGGGATGGCATGCTCCATGGCCGCTGTACGGTTCAGGAGACAGGGACCAGCTGTTGTGCCTGGAGGATGCAGCAGCCAAGGGAAGACCCCCAAATGATCAAGCTACGTCATGATACCTGGAGCAGCAGTTCCCCCTCAGGAAACAATTCCCTGTCGACCTGCGGGTCCGTCCGTCTGTTCCCTCCTGGGGCACTGGGCTGATCCAGCATGCAGTCATCAACGTTCGTAGATGTGGCTGCAAGGAAGAGGGCAAGAAATCAGCATGGAAGGGGCAAGTTCTCCTCCCCATCCCAGGGCTGCTTGTGCATGGCTGCACCATGCTACCCAATGCACTTGGACCCAGCTCAGAGAAAGATGAGACCAGTGGGAACTGGAGCAGAGCCCCTTTAGAGGGACATGCCCAACTTGCCCAATGCTTCCTCCAAGAGATTATTTCCCCTGCTTGGTCCCATTTCTGGGAAACATCACTTCTGCCAAGGCCTGAGGTAGAGATGCCAAGGATAGAGACACGTGAGTGCTTCTGGGCTGCCCAGGTGAGGAAACATCACCCAACACAGTGAGAATTCTTCAAATTAGAGCTTGGTAGAGCTTGAATTGGCTTCAAGCCGCTCCAGTGCCAAAATGTCTGCTCTCCTGCCCTTCAGGGCTGACAAAAGACTGTGGCAAACCTTCCCAAACCATCTGAGATGCCATCAAAGCACCCGTATTATTTCTCCCTTCTGCCTTTGGCTGCTCGGAAACAGACCAGAGGGCTGGTGACCATGGCACTCCCAGTGAGACACGTGAGCAGCTCTCGGCTCCCAGGACTCGCTGCCGTGACCTCCCCAGGCTGATTCACGTGCTGCCTCATGCTTCCTTGCTAGAAATCTTCAAGGAAACACCCATGGGTGCAGGCAACATGAAACCTTCTGCCCTGGTCACAGGACCTTGAGTATCATGGGACACACAGAAAACTGGTTGTTCACAGAACAGGAACGAGGACAGTGGCTTCCAGAGACATCCCCAGTGTGGCAATTTATCTGCTTGGGAACCGTCATTGAAAAAACTCAATCCAAACTCAGCTTCCAACAAAAGGACAATTTTCAAGGCATGTTTTTGCACCAGTCTGACCAAAAACCCACAAGAAAACCTTAAGGCAGCCCCCATGTAGGAACCACCCCATTTCTGCCACCACTGCGATCTCCTGCAGCTCCCCAAGGTCGGACAGAGCTCACACGCCCTGCGCACAGCCACATCCCGGCAGAGCATCACCGCTTGCCCTGTCTGAGCCCTGGGTTTCTGATGGTACTGCAGGACCTTGGCGGGATCCAAAAGGAAAAGGTCTTCTGAATTGGGGGAGTGGTAGAAAATGAGGAAAAAACCCAAACCATCCCAATTCTGATCACACATTTAATTATCTCCATCGTAGAAGCTCTCATCTCACCATTGAAAGGTTTTAAAGGTTTGGTCTTTCCCCACCCCGCCCCCCCAGTAGCACCGAGTTCAAAGCTAAAATAATTCCAAACCTAAAAAAAGTTTCATCTGAAACTGCTGATATGAGATGTTTTGCTTTTCATCAAACCATCAATACGCAAAAGCATTTTCCCCGAGAGATCTGCATTTTTGTACTGAAAATCAGTTTGAGGTTGAAACAACACTCGGATCTATTTACCTGTGGAGCCTGAGTGACAACCACCACCCACGCAGGCTTTCAGCAACCAGGCGCATGCTTAAAGATAATTAGCTGAAGGTCTTGTGGAGAGGATGCTCTAAGCCCATTAAGATAATTAGCCTCGATCTCTATTGCTGCTAGAATTGGACTGCTTCAGCCTTCCCCGAACCTTGAGTGCTCCTTGGAGATAGAATCATAGAATTGTTTAGGTTGGAAAAGGACCTTTAAGATCATCGAGTCCAACCTGAGATGTTCAGGCAGTGGTCGCATCTTCTGCCCTTTCCATCCTGTGCCCTCACACACTGAAGGAAAGCCGAACTCCCACAGGACGTACCTTCCGCCTCCTCACAGCTCACCAGTGGGTCAGTTTAGCCCACGTCACAAATCTGCATCGCCCATCACGTAAGCTCACATTCCCATCTCTACAGAGGACGACCCTCTGCATTGAGGCTTCCCAAAGACATGGATCAGCCAGGCCAGGGGATGTAAGACCTCTGGGAAAAGTTGGGAAAGATGAGGTTCAACGCCAGGAAAGCAGTCACTGTGCTCAGTTTACTCATCAATCAAGGAAAGGCATGTCCCCAGGAGTTTCAAAAGGGCAGGTCTGAGGCAGTCACCATGCAAAAAGCCTCTTGCCAAGTGATCCCCAAGGAAAAACATCCAAAGACCATCTGGACCATGGGTATGGCTTCAATTTGCACATGATGGAACCGAATAGTTTCAAAATGAAACATTGATTCCTTTGTTAAAGTTGAATTCTTTTGATGGACTGACTCCTCTCTAAAGCATTGAAATGAGGCAAGCTGGCAGAGAAATTCAAAAAGAAGCCAAGTTCTCCCAAAACAAAGCTCCAAAAGGGCAGAGAGCGTTTTGAGAGGATGCACGTCCCGAGTGCATGTGGTCTCCAGCTCTCTCCCAGTGTCCACCAGCAGCATCTGCAGGGAGAGCTGCAACGAGCTGGGGAGAGCTGCTGTGGGCTTATAGAATCCAACACGAAACACCTATTTGCTCATTTTGTGCTTTCCAGCAAAATTATTTCTTCGAAATCTCTGACCGATCTTAACAAGGAGCTTTTAATCTCCCATCAGAGATGCTCCCTTCCCCTACTTTCAAACACAGTATGATCCATTTCTGCACAGCTGAGCTAGAAAATCCTGCAGAATCTATCCCCTGTGGGACACACTACGATGACCTGGCTTGGGGAGAAGGCCTGGAGCACAGAAGGTAGGAAACCCAAAGAGATGGTGTCTGCCAACTGCCTTGCCACCAAGCATCACTGCACTGGGGTTGCAAGGTCCTGACTACAGGGCATGGATTGTAACCCCTTCAATTGTAACCATGGATTGGTGCTTCTAAGTGTGGGTGGTGTAAAGCGATTGGTGTTCACATCCAGCCCAGTCCTCATCATCCACGGCCAGAGGCCAAGGAGATGCTGAGGCCAGTGCGTGAGGCAAAACGCATGGCACTCTCTCACCAAAATAATCCAGGAATGTGTGACATGAGCTCCCCTTACTTTCATCATCACTTCAACACCTGTGGCCCAGTCTTGCTCTTGCAGAAGGCTCCTCTGCTTCAAGAGACAACCACCTTGCTGGGAATGGCCAGCGGTGGAGTAAGCATTCAGTAGATGGGCAGGGCTGAGGCTGCCCTCAGAAGCCACAGCCATTCCTCAGCAGTCTAGATGATCTGAAGACCTCCTGTACCCTTTTTCAGCTGATGACCCTCTTCATCTTCAAATGTGTCATGACTGGGTGTCCCCCTCAACCAACAAGTCAGGAGCAAAGTGTCCCTGTGGCCCTCCCCCTCCAAACAGGTCTCTGAACTCATCCTCGCTCAAATTGCCAAGAACCGCAGGGGTTGGGAGCAATCCCAACAGAGGCCTGAGCACATCCAGAGTAGAGGACTCCAGGCCCATGTAACCACCATGGTTACAGAGGCTATTTTTGACTTGGAAAAAAAAAAAAAATTCGTTTTAATCAAAGTGCAGAAAAAATCCCCAGCCCATCTGCAACATGGGTAACCTCACGGGAGGGAAGGATCACTCCTGAAACGTCCCCCATTTGCCTGAGGAAAGTTATTAGTCTCTGGGGGATTTCACCAGCACATAAATCCACACTCACCAGAAACAACTTGCAGGATGATCATCCCATAACAGGCAACGCTGACTCTGTCTCCCGATGACACGGGGTGGTGGCTTGGAGCCTCCTTCCCCTCCCACTGGCTTTCCGACACAGCTGGGCAAAGGCGATGGCAGAGAGCATCTCCGGGATGTTCTGCAACTCTGGAGCGGAGCTTGTGGCAAGGTCAAGCTGGAGCTGGTGCTACCAGGAGGACCGACAGCCAGGGTTCTCCACGCCAGCAGAGCAGGAGATGCCACCCCTTGAAATCCCACCGTGAGCCCCGGGTCTCTCAGCCTGATAAAGTCACCTCTTCAAGGGTCTGATGGCTAAGATGGACTGAAAACAATCGATGGCAGGAAAAGCAGATCCCTGTCTGCTACAAGGCAAGAGAAAGCAGGCGGCAAGCCACATTAAAAGCTGGCTAATTCACTCCTGTTTCAGATACTCACTGTGATGGACCATTACACGTTGAGACTCAGTTCCACATAAAGCAGCTGAGACAACAAAGTTAATGGGATTAAAAGAAACAGATCCAACGTGTATAGAAGCTGTAATATATCTACAGTATAAGAAATAACTATAGATAGAAGGATGATGTACATTTGCTGTTTGTGCCCAGCTTTTTCAGTCTCCTGCTGTGCATCTTTGAGAATTAATGGGAATTAATGCAAGATTGAAAAGATCATGACAAAAGTGATCTGCAGTTACTAGACAAATTCTAGGCATTTGCTGAAGCAATTTGGTGATCACTTATATTTTCAAAGTGCTGGGATAGAGGCTATCGGTGTGTAATGCTTAAGGCAGAAGGGGGAAATCCAGCTCTGTCCTGAACCCCTACACCAGCCAGAGCACTGGAGGAGGCTTCTTGCTGCTGCTGTGATCTCCAAAGACTAGAAGGTTTTCATTCAAAAGGAAGCCAAGGGAGATGTCAACCAGGATCAGTAACATTTTCAGCATTATTGAATCAGGATGTGTCCTGTATATCTCCAAGAGCATCCCTTTAGGTTGGGTTTCTTGCCTCTGCAAGGAGGTTTCTAAGACAAGCAATGTGGAGGAAAGACCTCAAGCATGAGAAAAAAAAGGAGCAAAGCAATCTGATCTCTTCACTTTTTGATCACCACATTCACAAAGAAAAACACAGCAATGCAGCCATGGAGGCTAACATGCCCCTTGCCTCTGGTATAGTTTTGTCACTGAAAAAAAAAGTTATTGGAAAAAAAAATCCTGGAGTCAGTTCTGCTCTTATGGACTCAGTTACACCGGTGGGAGATGACAGACTTCACCCATGGCAAGCATTTCTCTTTGAACAGACTCCAGAGATACCTGGCAGCAAGAAACCAGGAGCTCCCAGCTCTTCTAGCAACACCAAGCCATGCACAACCGTTTTCCTCTTGGACCTGATCCCAAACTCCATCAAATTAGCACCAACCTTTGCCTCAGCTGTTTAACAAAGGCATCGTGCCA